TTACGGCAGGTCTGTTGATCAATGACAAATTATTACTTAATATTTTATCATAGCTGATCTGCTTACAATTCAAAGGACATCTGTATTATTATCAAGTGAAACACCCTATGGGAATAGATTCAGTTGCTTTTGGTATTAATTGATAATGGGGGCATGCATAATAGTATATATTAGCTTCACTGAAATATGGCATAAATATAATATAAATAAGTAAAATAGTTGAATCACTCAATGCATTACCCTAAAAATCTCTTTCTATTTCTCCTTTCAATTTTTTCTTTTCCTTTACCCACTCCATCATCCTCCCTTCTTCTTGTAAACTCCAAACTCCTCCCTTCTTGCACTCTGCCCACTCCCTTTCTCCCTTCTTCACTCTGTCTTTACCCACTCCCTCCTCTCTCCTTCCCCTTTACACAATCCCTCTTTCTCTTTTTCTCTCTCATCAAGAAATGGCAGGGTTAGAACATGCATTTTTATCATTGTTAGGGGGCCATGATCCCTAAAATCCCTTAACTGGAAAGCAAAATCTCAACCGTATCTGAATGAAGAGCCAGCATAGACAGCTGAGGTGGAGGTAAATGCCCCTTACTGCACACTTAGGCTTGAGTTATTTTGCAAATTATGGGAGCTTCAGGATATTCATAATGTGTTTACATATCATTTGTATCAAATATTTCTATCATATTTGATCAGCAGACACTGATAGGACTCCACTGATACTAAATTTGATGGGTTTTAAGATGCAGACGAGTCCTAGCAATATACTGCACATTCTGTCAATGTCTAACTTCTACCATTATATCTTCAGGCATGATAAAGCTTAAAATTATTCTTTAACCCTTTGCTGACAGGCATGGCATGTATGTACATGCCATGCCCATTGTGAGTTTACTTGTTTGATTGTTTTTACTCATAGATGGCTACATTTGCACTAAGTCACCAATAAGCCAGTTACGAGTACTGACTGCTTCGCCCGTTTACCCCTTTCTTTGATTCCCAAAAATATTTTACATTATCTTATTTTGCTGTTACTAATTTTTATAACAATATAGTAATTATAATGTTTATAATAAAAATAACACCATCGATATTCATAGCAGTGGTAAAAAATACATTTTCTCGCCAATTCAAGGAAAAGTGAAATCAGTTAAGGTCCCAAGATCTACTAATTGATTCCTTTGTGGCAAAGCACTAGCAGAGCTATTTATGTGCAGAGACATTTCACAAAAATATAAAAAAATGAGCACATATTCCCCATTTTTTATTCATTTTCCCCTGCGGCAATGGGTTAACTGCCAACAATTTCACTGAGGGATACAAGCTCTAACTAGCCAGAATGCATATGGTGGAACTGTGTTAGCCTTTACTGGAGCACTGACAGTTGTGAAACCTGTGAAAAAAATTTGGATGAATACAAGAGCCAAACAGTAAGTGCATGCACACACATACACACACACTCCACAAAAAAGCACACATATGCACACACACACACACACACACACACACACACACACACACACACACACACACACCATACACACACACAATATCATGCATATTCATAGGTTTTCCAGCAATAAGAGTATAGTATGAAAGAAGTACCATGAAACTAAAGAATCACACGCACACGCACACACACACACACTCACCACAAAAACACAACCACAAAAATACAAAAACACACCCACACCCACACACCACAAAAACACACACACACATACACACACAAACGCGCATGCACACGCACACGCACATGCACACACACACACACACACACACACACACACACACACACACACACACACACACACACACACACACACACACACACACACACGCACACACACACACACACACACACACACACACACACACACACACACACACACACACACACACACGCACACGCACAAACACACTCACCACAAAAACACAACCACAAAAATACAAAAACACACCCACACCCACACACCACAAAAACACACACACACACACACACACACACACACACACACACACACGCACACGCGCACACGCACACACACACTCACCACAAAAACACAACCACAAAAATACAAAAACACAACCACACCCACACACCACAAAAACACACAGAAAAACACACACACACACACACACAGATCATTCATACTCACATTATTATTAAAACTAAAAGAAAATAAGAAAAAAAAATCATTATATACAAATGATTCTAATATCGACTAACATCTACAGCTTTTCTCCTTTGATTAGAAATCTACAAGATCTGAAATAAATCTTGTCCTTAACAGATAAAAAAAAGGAAAACATTATTGCAATATTCTCATCCAATAATGAACCATTCCTACTCTTCTTTCTCTAAGTTGATATATATTCTCTATCCTCTCATACCTTTCTCCCAGTCAACTTCTTCAATTTACGCAATCACTCTGGCTATCAATGTCTCTTCTTCTCCCAATTTATCCGATTTACATATATTTCTCCTTCGTGTCCCTTCTCCTCTCGTGTTTACATCGGGCGCTCGACGTCGCTTGCGCTCCGGATCCAAGGCACGAGGGCGGTTGAGAGCATCCATTCCTGGCGTAATGTGGGTGAAGAAAAAAGGGTAAAAAAAGGGTCTTAGTTTGGAAAGTTGTTCAGGATAAGTGTGTATATATACCACAGCAAGAAAAAGAAAGATTTTTTTTTTATTCTATTGACGTGGGGTATCGGATGATAGATAGATAGATAAATAGATAGACAAACAGACAGATAGAGAGATAGATAGAGAGAGAGACAGAGAAAGCAGTCTTGAATTCCTATTGCATTTCAATCTCCAGAATGCTTCTGTCTGAGGACACTCTGAAGAAGCTGGCGCTGTCCGAGGACAGAGCCAGCTTCTCTTGGGTGTCCTCGGACGGAGCAGCTGTCTGTGGACACACTGGAGAAGCTGGCTCCTCTAGGGTGTCCTCAGACAGAAGCAGCTCCTCCAGAGTGTTCTCGGACAGAGCCTCCATGGTGTCCACGGACAGCAGCTCCTCCAGGGTTTGAGGACACCCTGAAGAAGCTGGTGCCTTCAGTGTGTCCTCAGACAGAAGCAGCTCCTCCATGGTGTCCACGGACAGCAGCTCCTCCAGGGTCTGGGGACACCCTGAAGGAGCTGGCGCCTTCAGTGTGTCCTTAGATAGAAGCAGCTCCTCCAGGGTGTCCTCGGACGGAGCCCTAGAAGCTGTCCTCAGACGGCAGTTCTTCTAGGGCTCCGTCCAAGGACACACTGAAGGAGCTGGCTCCATCCGGGGACACACTGAATGGTTAATGGTTAATGGTTAAAAGCGAGATAAATGTGCTAGACATCTAAGGTCATGTAGTACTATAGTTAATGTTAGTGAAAGGTGGTTGAGTTAGTGATTAGTTGTCTAAGCTGGGCAAAGGAATTGGTGAGTTAAAGGGTTAAGGTCGGGTGTTAGATTAGATAAAGGATATGTATGCGTTTGAGGAAAGAGAACAGGTTGTTGATGCAGAAAGTGTGGGATTCTGTAAGGATGTCTGATAGGTTGGGAGGTCGGTGAAGGGAGGTACGGGCTGCTTCAAAACGTGGGCACGACAATAGGATGTGTACGATTGAAAGGGGAACATTACATAAGGAACATAGGGGTGGATCAGATTGTGACATCAGATAGGAGTGTGTTAGACGGGTGTGGCCAATGCGTAAGCGGGCGAGAGCAGTCTCCCAACGTCTGTTCCGATGAAATGGAGCTGACCAGGAGGAGATTGATAGTTTTACAGAATGTAATTTATTAGTGTGGAGGCTTGACCAAAAAGATTGCCATCGTTTATACAAGAAGGTCTTAAAGTGTGGGTAATAATCCGTGGCTGGGATACGTGAGAAGCGTGGTTGGTATGATGTGGACATAGCAGCGTGGCGTGCTAGTGTATCTGCCTGTTCATTGCCGGGGATTCCAACATGGCTGGGCACCCAGCAAAATTTGATTGTTTTATGGCGTGTGGACAGGTAGAACAACCAGTTCTGGATCTTACAAACAAGGGGGTTGGTGCTGTGTATTGACTTTATAAGAGTTAATGAGCTACGGGAGTCAGTAAAAATTGTAAAAGAGGAAGAGGAGAGTGAGTATATTTGTTTTAGGGCAAAAAGGAGTGCATACAGTTCTGTAGTAAGGACACTGGATTCAGGAGGAAGGGAGTATTTGAAAGTACGAGTTGGGAATAATACTGCAAAACCAGCACCAGAGGTGGATTTGGAGCCATCAGTATATACGTGTATACTAGAGGAATGGGTGGAGACATGGTCAAGGAAATGGATGAGAAGGACAGTAGGAGGAATATTTGATTTTGGTGGGTCGGTGAAAACAGAAGAGCAAATATGGGGGTGAGGTATAAGCCATGGAGGGACGGAATGGACAGAGAACGGGAGAGGTTGGAGATGGGGGAAAGGGGAATGGGAGAGGAGGGTATCCATGCGAGTGGAGAAAGGAGTAGGTAAGCGTGGAGATGAAGCTAAGGTAGGAAGTAGGGATTGTGGGATAGTTTAGTGAGGGGAAGTTGGTGGAAACGAACATAACATCGGAGAGAGAGAAGGGCACGACATCGAGATAGAGATGGTATGCCTGATTCAGTATACAGGCTCTCAACTGGAGAGGAGCGGAAGGCGCCTAGTGCTAAGCGAAGACCACAGTGATGGATTGTGTCAAGATGGGCAAGGAGAGAAGTTGAGGCAGAGGAGTAAATATGGCATCCATAATCAAGAGTGGAGAGGATCAAAGTAACATGAAGATGAAGAAGAGTTTTGCGATCTGAGCCCCATGATATATGGGATAGAGTTTTTAAAATTCGAAGGCGGCGGAGAGCTTTTTCTTTAATGTGTAGAATATGGTCTCGCCAGGTCAGTTTGGAGTCAAAAATGACGCCTAAGAATTTGCCAGAGGAACGGCATTGGAGTGGAGTGCCATATAAGAAGAGTGGGGGTAGGGGACTTACACGTGAGCGAGAGAAAAGGATGGAGAAAGATTTAGAGACAGAAAAGCGGAAGCCATGGTTTGTGGCCCAGGAAGATACTGATGAGATTGCAGATTGAAGAAATTGGTAGAGATTTGGTATGGATGTGCCTGAGGCATAGATGGTTAAATCATCAACATATAGTGATGACCGGGCTCCTGGTGGTAAAACTGAGACAATATCATTAACAGCTAGAAGGAATAAAGTGGTACTGAGCACACTGCTTTGTGGGACACCTTCGATTTGAGGAAAGAAAGATGATGTGGCAGAAGCAATTTTGACCTGAAAAGTGCGTTGGGAGAGGAAAGACTTTATGAAGACACCCATGTTTCCACGTATGCCTAGAGAGGACAATTGTTGGAGAATATGGTACCGTCGTATCATATGCTTTTTCTAGATCAAAAAATATAGCTAGTACGGATTCATGGCGTGCAAATGCGGATGTAATATATGTTTCAAAATGAGCAAGGGGGTCAGCTGTGCTTCTGGCACGGCGAAAACCGAATTGGGAAGGAGAGAGAAGATTGTGAGATTCAAGATACCACATCAAGCGGAAGTTCACCATTCGCTCTAATAGTTTGCACAAGCAGCTAGTTAGTGCGATAGGCCGATAGTCTTGAGGGAGGGTACCCGATTTATTGGGTTTCAGGAAGGGAAGGATAAGAGCTTCTCGCCAATTAGAAGGAAAATTTCCTGATGTCCATATGTGGTTGTAAATTTTTAATAGGAAGGATAAGGAGGAAGATGGGAGTTGCCGGAGCATACGGTAGTGAATACCGTCAGGGCCTTCATGAGTGTTGCGGCACGATTGTAGGGCAGTAATGAGTTCAGAGGAAGAAAATGGAGCATTATAGGACTCAGCAGAGGATGGGGTGAAGGTAATGGGGGTACGTTCTCTGGTGGTCTTGATAGAAGAGAAGTGTGGAGAAAGGTGAGAGCCACTACTGACCTGGCTGAAATAATCACCCAGTTCATTAGCGACTTGGAGAGGATCAGAAATGAGGGTATCTCGAATATGGAGGACGGGGGCAGGATGGGGGGGATGTTTGCCTGATAGTTTATGGATTCGTCGCCATACATTTGAGATAGATGTAGAGGATGTAATTGATGAAACATAATTTCGCCAGCTATTTGTTTTACTATTCCGGATTGTACGACGAAGACAGGCAGATGCTCTTTTAAAGGAGATAAGGGCTGATAGTTGATTTGGAGTACCTCTCTTGTAGCGGTAACTGTTCCAGGCTGCACGTTTTAAGCGAAGTGCTTTAGTGCAATCAGAATTCCACCATGGAACACATTTAGAGGTATATGGTCTTGAGGTTCGAGGGATAGCTGTATGTGCAGCTCTTAAGACTGTAGTTGTGAAACATTGTATCATTTCTGAAATGGAGGTGAATGAGGATGGAGGGGTATGAATAGCAGAGAGTGAAGTGAAAGTATGCCAGTCGGCTCTATCAAAGCACCAGCGTGGGGAGTTAGGAAGTGGTACGTATGGAGTAGGAGAAAGGAGAACTGGAAAGTGGTCACTATAGGGAAAGTGGTCTAAAACTGACCAGTGGAAATCTATATGAAGAGAAGGGGAGCATAGAGAGAGGTCAATGCATGAAAAAGATTGCGTGCGTGTATCAAAGTGTGTTGGGCGATCTGAATTTAGAATAGTAAGGTCAGCTGTGGAGAGGAAGCGCTCTAGAGATCGGCCTCGGGAGTTGGTAATAGAATCACCCCAAAGAGTGTGGCGGCGGTTAAAGTCGCCCGCTATGAGGAAAGGTGGTTGAAGTTGGGAAATTAGATTTTCAAAAGCAACAAAGTCAATGGGGTGGGAAGGGGAGAAGTAGACTGAAATCACTGTGATCCAACGATGAAGGAAGATACGAATAACTGTGCAAAGGACATTGGTTTGAAAGGGTGGTGTGACATAAGGTGTTTTCTGATTGATAAGTATGGACGAGACATAAAGGGAATGTGGGGAAGAGACAAAATGATAATTGGGGATTGGTATTGGAGGATGTGTAAGAAAGGTTTCTTGAAGGCATACAATAGATGGGTTATAAGAGGAAAGGATATGACGAAGGTCAGGTCTGTGGGAGCGGAAACCGCGAATATTCCAATGAAGGATAGTTATACTTTCGTTGATTTAGTGATATAGATTGCAGTACGTGTTGGAGACTTTGAGGGGGAAGCAGCTAGAGGGTGGGATAAGGACTGAGAGGTTTGAGATGGGAGAGATGTGGGAGTTGGTGTTCTATCAGGAGAGGTATTAGGAGATGGAGGGTCTGAGGAAGGAGATACTTGTGACATCAGGGATTCACGTGTGTATCCAGGAGGGAGTGGAAGGGATAGAGGGGATGGTGGGAGGGTTAATGTGGGCGGGGTCGGGGTCGGGGGGGATGGGCTGTGTTGGGAGGGGGTAGGAGGATAGGGTGTAGGGGGGATATCGTTAGGAGGAGGATGGATATCAGCAGTTACTTGGAGTGTGGAAGGAGCAGGGGTTGTAGGTTGAGTGTCAGTTTGCATTAAGTAATCTTGAATATTTTCAATAGTTTCTTCTGAGGAGTTGGTTGGGGAGTTGTGGGGGATAAAGGATTTCTTGTGAGGGGGGGAAGAGAGGACTGGTGTCTCAAGAGTACGGGGAGTGCGAGGAGGGAGAGGGGAAGGTGTTGGGGTTGTAGTGGTGATTGGAGTATCTGTAGTAGAGATTGGAGTTTCTGGATTTAGGATGGCAAAAGAGTTTGACTGGGGAAGGTAGGAGGTAGAAGTGGGGGGGTTAGATGTAGGAGGGGTGGGTTTAGGAGAAGTGTTAGAATGAGCAGTATTACTGGAGTAAGGAGTAAGAGAGAATCCACGTAGACGTGCTTCCTGTCTGGCTTCACGCAGTGTGAGTCCAAGTTTGAATCTGAGAGTTGCTACCTCAGATTCAAATTTGTAGGTGGGACAGCCCCTATAAAATACATTATGGGAGCCGCCACAGTTGGTACATGTGCGTGATTGTGCAGAGCAGTTAGATCGGGTATGGCCAGGTTGGGCACATAATGGGCATCTGGCTGTGGAACGGCAATGTTTGGCTGGGTGTCCTAGACGCCAACAATTTTGGCACTGACGTGGAGGAAGTTGGTATGGACGAACAGGGAGGGATTCTCCTCCTATGTAGACGTTAAAGGGAAGATCATGTCTACGGAAGGTAATTTTGGCTATGTTAGTGGGTTTCTTTCGATGACCTCTGGGGGGGATGGAGTAGCATTGTACTGATGTTGCATCGTAGTCTGTGAGACAGGCAAGTAGATCTTCTCCACAATCTGACCAATATTTGTCATAGATTGGGCAATTTGCTGGTGAGATTGAGACTGTTCCGGTGCAGGTATTGAGGGTTGGATGGGGTTCTGCTAGGATGGGGTTACCATATAGGTCAGTTAGTTTTGTTAATGCTATAGCTTGGTTTTCGGACGTTACTGTGACAAGGCGGGAGCGGTCGGGTCGGCTACGGAAAGAGACTTTACCTACTTGTTTTTGGAGGCATTGTTGGAAGAGAAGGGTGTTGTCAGAGTAGGGAGCTGTGGGAGGGATCACGAAAAATCGGTCCTATGTGGCTGCACTGAAGAGAGTATTCAAGATTGTTTTAGAGATAGGGGTGGTAGAAGGGCGAGGACGTGACGAAGATGGAGTAGTTGAGGGAAGTAGTGTTATGGAGAGGTGGGCTATAAGGCTGTAAGGTATTAATAAGGGAGGATGGGGCGGTTGATGTTGGAGGTTGTGGGGGTAGAGGTGTTGAAGTTGGGCATGCTGGGAGAGTGGAAATGTTCCTTGAGGGTTGATTGTTGGCTACTGCACTAGTAGGCATTGGTGAAGGGGTAGTTATTGCAGTGTTCGGAGCCGTGGTCAAAGGAGAGCCTGGGGTCGGGGAATCGGGTGGGTTTACTTCGTTGAGGCTATTTGATAAAGGGGCAAGCCTCATTGCCCCTAACAGTGGGGATATATTGTCATTACTGGCCATGGTAAGCCTGGATTATATTGGGGATAAAAACAGTCCACCCCTCAGGGTCCCCTTGAGGGGTAAGGGCTAGATAACTAAATCAGGGGAATACCGTGCCCATGGCTCCCTCAGGCCGTTCAGGACTGGTACAAAGTCAGCCTTTCATCCTTTCAGCACGGCTCTCACACCTTAGGAGGTGGATAGCAGAAGGGTTTGGTGAAGGGACAGAATCAAAAGTGGGAAGGGAAAAAAAGACCATGCATAATTAGTTGAGTCGAGGGCTGAGTCCCAAGGTTGGGGAGTTCCCCATCATTGGGTCCCAGTCTCCGCCTCCTAAGCCCCCCCACGACAACAACGGGCAAGGGATTGGGGGGGGGGGGACACACTGAAGGAGCTGGCTTCGTCCGAGGAAAGCCAAGAGAAGCTGACTCTGTTCTCGGATGGCGCCAGCTCCTTCAGGGTGTCTTCGGATGGAGCCAGCTCCTATAATGTATTTTATAGGAGCTTTTCTATATTTGCTGATATAAATATAATTCCTTGTATAAACACATATTATGTATACATAATATACATATTAGGCTCTCAAACCTAAGGAAATGGATAGAGGAAGGGGTTGATATAGAAGGGATGGGATGAGAAGGGAGAGAAGAAAAGACTGTGTAAATTAGTTGAGGCGAGGACTGAAGTCCAAGGTAGGGGTGATCCCCTCCATTGGGCCTCAGTCTCAATCTCCTAAGCCCCCCCCCCCCCCCCCCCATGACAACCATCAAGGCAAGGGAGTAGGGGGCTATGTATATTATGTATATATATTGTTGATATGGTATAAGAATTCATCTTCCCTGCGTGTATAAAGCCAGTTTGACTTGTCAATGCATATATGACTCGTTGTGGGGATTAGTAAAAAACAGAGATGATGCGCTTAACTCCATGTATTGAGGAGGAACAGCGTAGTACACCTGAGGGTTGTTTACATAGTGGGTATAAAAGTCTGCCGTTTGATGGCGTACATAAAAGAAAACATTCTCTTGTATGGGTAACTTAACAAAATATAATTTCACCTTAATTCAGGCATTATGAGGTATATCATTGATACATGACATATAAGTATCCTTATACTAATAACTATCTTTGATTATTCCAACATATATCATACATATGTATATTATATTATATATATACATATATATACACAAACGTGTGTGTGTGTGTGTGTGTGTGTGTGTGTGTGTGTGTGTGTGTGTGTGTGTGTGTGTGTGTGTGTGTGTGTGTGTGTGTGTGCGCGTGTGTGCATGTGCGTGTGAGTGTGTGAGGGTGTGAGTGTGTGAGTGTGTGAGTGTGAGTGTGTACATTTGTGTGAGAATGATGTATTATTAATTAAATTCGTTTTTATCCTTTTCAGACATGGAGAATCAAGCATGGTATCCACAAAATGCCCACCAGGGAAACAACCAGGGTAACCAGGGAAACCAGGAAATTACACTAACCATGCCCGGAACAACCATGGCAACCAAAACAAAGCTAAAGAAGATGAAAAGAAGAAAACAAGCCTCAGAGATGTGGTAAGAAACTGTAAATCATATATTCTATTCTCTTTTCCCCCTCCCTCCCTCCCTCCCTTTCTCCTGCTTTCTTATTTTATCATTCTTTACTCACCTCAGATCTCTTCATCCCTCTTAGGCCACTCTTCCTGTTATCTTTCTCTTTCCCCCTTCCACTTTCTCCCTCTTTCTTCTTATTCCTTATTACTGTACTCTGTAATATTTATGTAAAATTTATAACTGAAACTAATTGTAAAGTGAACTGAATTGGTCTGAAAGGAATCTGAATGAACTGTATGTATATGGAAATTATGTATATTACATTTTTTCTTAGTATTTTCAGAAGATAATGCTTGACAATATAAGGAAAGATGAAAAAAGTCATAATAAACCTCTTAAACATTTCAGATACAAGAACGAGATCAGCAGCTACGAGAAGCCCAAGGAAATGATTAGGCTGTGTTACTGGGCAATGGGTATGTATGAATTCTATGGTCTGTTTTCTTAGACTAAAAAAAATTCACATGTAATTTCATAAGTATGATATATGGTTACATTTGATTGATTTAATACTGAAAAAAATTCTACCACATCAACATCTAAGGTCATTAGATGGCCTCCTAAGCTGCCCCCCCCCCACCCCACCCCATGACAACAACGAGCAAGGGACTTGATCCTTAGATGGAAGGGATGTCACCTGTGGCAAGTCCTGATAGCAGCCCAGGAGAATATTGATAAAGGCCTCGCTAAGCAGAACACTCAATGGCTGACCTGCTAACAGTGGAAAGCATTTCTCCCATTTAAATGGGTAATTTTTAAAAATTTTGTATTAATCACACTTTTTCATTTTGTTGCATTACCAATACCAAAATAGCAATACCCTAATAACAATCACTACATAATATGATACTAGTACAAATATCAAATTAAAAAAAAATATAAAAAAATAAAAAGAATAAAAAAAAAACTTTCTGCGAAAACCATGCATGCACATAACCCCTTCACAACAGGTCATGCCTATGGGCGTGGAAAAAAACATTTGAATGTTGGTGTGCGGCTTGCTGGTGATTCGGCTTGATGTGCCAAACATTTGCACTCAAAGTCGGCGCACTGCCATGGCTCGCCAGACCGCCAGTCTCAATGATGAGTCCTTAAGTTGGGTATCTCCAACTCTGCACCATACCATGAGCAATCTGTGGAACATTCTAGCATTAATGTATTAGAGCTAAATTGATAATAGTGAAGAAAAGATAGAAATAGATAGGGATAGATGTGTAGTTGTCTGGCTGATATATACATTACTATTATTGATAATTTGTTAATCTATTCACCAATATATATTATTTCCTTGTATATTCAATGTCATTCACAGGTTCTCTTGTGTTATCTGCATTAGGCTCAGTGACTTAATCTGTACCCCACTTTTTTTTTTTCCTAAAGATTCTTTCTTTTCTACCATGCTATGAGGCTCTAGCTGGATGAACAGAATGGTTAATGGTTAACCCATTGCCACTGGGGAAAATGAACAAAAAATGGGGAAAATGCTGTACTTATTTTTTATATTTTTGTGAAATATCTCTGTACATAGATGACTCTGCTAGTCCTGATTTCACCTTTCCTTGAATTGGCGGGAAAAAAAAAACGTATTCTTACTTGTGCTATAAATATAGATGGTGTTATTTTTAACAGCAAATTAGGATAACGTTAAATATTTTCGTAAATTGATGAAAAGGGTGAACGGGCAAGACAGGCAGTACTCGTAATTGGCTCAATGGTGACTTAGTACAAGTCGACTCACATTGGGCATGGCATGTACGTACATGCCATCCCCGGCGGCAATGGGTTATGGTTAAAAGCAAAATAAATGTGCTAGACATCTAAGGTCATGTAGCACTAGTGAAGGGTGGTTAAGTTAGTGGTTAGTTGTCAAAGTTGGGCAAAGAAATTGGTGAGTGAATAGGTTAAAGTCAGGTGAGGTAATGTAAAGGGGTTAGATTAAGTGAAGGATATTTATGCGTTTGAGGAAGGAAAACAGGTTGTCGAAGCAGAAGGTGTGAGATTCTGTTAGGATGTCTGATAGGTTGGGAGGTCGGTGAAGGGAGTATCATTTGTCAAATTATATCAATAAAATATATTGTGCCAAAGGAACAGTCTATGTTTTTATTTGAGGCAGGCTGTTTGCAGCTTATATACCAATCCCCTAGTTTATCTATCTCATTTAGATGTGGTAGTTCTGTCAAATTATTAACTTCAAGTCTTATTGCCTTTCCCATTCCAAAATGAATAAAAAATGGGGAAAATGCTGTGCTCATTTTTTATATCTTTTGGGGGAAATGTTACTACACATAGATGGCTCTGCCTTACCTGATTTCACCTTTCTTTGAATTGGCAGGAAAATGTATTTTTTACTAGTGCTATGAATATCGATGGTGTTATTTTTATTATAAACATTATAATTACTATAATGTTATAAACATTAGTAATAGCAAAATAAGATTTTGATAAATATTTTCGAAAATTAAAGAAAAGGGTGAACGGGTGAGACAGGCAGTACTCATAATTGGCTCATTGGTGGTCTACTACAAGTGTAGCCATCTATGTGTAAAAACAAACAATTGAGTTTACTCTGGGCATGGCATGGCATGCCCGTCGGCAAAGGATTAATGTGTCCTCTATTATATATTTTTGGAATATTGATTGTTTATTGGGTCAATATGTAGTATAAGGTAATGGCAGAGTTGGGTAATAAAACCTACATGAAAGTTCTTCTATGGCAATGTGTGCAAATGCTTCCCAAGGCTGCTATACATAAAAGAGAAGATCCCCCAGTCAGTATATAGAAGTGGGTAGTGGGTTACTTTCAAAACAATTTTGATATTTTTCTGCATGAAATCCACTTTCAACAATTCTAGGCATTGTTCCTTGTGCAAATGAATCGTTGAGGAGATATGATCACCATCTCCATCGACAATCTTGATTTGATAGTCCTGATAGCAGAGGAGGGCATGAAGTATATCAGGGAAATTATGGGGTAAAACAGGACCCCCGTGGTTGTTAAACAAAACGTCCTAACCCAACATCCAGCCTAACTTAACAACATGGGACATATTCCCTAGACCAGGGGTCTCAAACTCACGGCCCGCGGGCCAAATGCGGCCCCCAGGACGATACTTTGCGGACCGTCTTGATATTAAAGATTAATGTTAGTGCGGCTCGCAAGACTGATATGAATAAAACTTGTTGTATGCGGAGCTGAACGAACCAATCACGGTGGGGTAAAAGGCTCTGAAGGGTGGTATAGGTCCAGACTTACAGATGAGCATCTTCAAGCCCTACTCAGAGTCTCCACTGCTTCCTCTCTCAAGCCAAATGTGGCTCGGCAATGTGAAAAGTAGTGCTGCCAGGTCTCTAGCAGCAAGAAGTAGACAAAAGAAGCCATTTTTAGTTCATTCAGTTCATATTCAACTTTTCATTCATGTTTAGAAAGTTAAAGGTTAAAGAACTGTTAATACAGACATTTCAAACTGAATTAAAATAATTAGTTTTCTCTGGTCAGCCAGTCAGTCAGTCAATATGTGGTTTCTTCAGTCATCTGTATCTGCTGTATGATTATTATTATCTTATTTATTTATTACTGGTTGATTTATTTTCATTTTTTGTGCTAAAAATAAGATATTTGAGAACATTGGAATGTTTTATCAGCACTTTTCTTGGGGAAATCCTGATGTGGCCCAGCCTGACCCAGACTCTGCCTCCAGCGGCCCCCGGGTAGATTGAGTTTGAGACCCCTGCCCTAGACAGTGGGCTCTGCCCCTGGAAACCTGTAGTAATATATACACCTAGCCCTGTGGACATATATGCGTCTAGAATTCACCCTCACAATGTAAACATGAGCGACTTACTCAAAATTGGGGAATCTTCTCTTTTCTTTCACATATAGAAGCCTTGGGAATGATTTGCTCTTACTCTCTTGTTGTTCATCTTGGGTGGCTGAAGATCTTCCAGGTATCTGCCAGCATCTTAACCACTGAACAACTTTTCGCCAGGTTCATCTCTGTGGATAAAGAAACACTTTAGCAGAGAAAATACTATTATATATATATATATATATATATATATATATATATATATATATATATATATATATATATATATATATATATATATATGAATCCCCTTAGTAATATGTATGCCTAGCCAGGGGGCTACATTTTTTCCTGCCAATTCAAGGAAAGGTGAAATCAGGACTTGCAGAGTCATCTATGTACAGAGATATTTCACAAAAATATAAAAAATAAGTACAGCATTTCCCCCATTTTTTGTTCATTTTCCCCGGTGGCAATGGGTTAACCATTAACCATTCTGTTCATCCAGCTAGAGCCTCATAGCATGGTAGAAAAGAAAGAATCTTTAGGAAAAAAAAAAAAGTAGAGTACAGATTAAGTCACTGAGCCTAATGGCGGTCTGGCGAGCCATGGCAGTGCGCCGACTGTGAGTGCGGGTGTTTGGCACATCAAGCCGAATCACCAGCAAGCTGCACGCCGACATTTGAATGTTTTTTTTCCACGCTTATAGGCATGACCTGTTGTGAAGGGGTTATGTGCATGCATGTTTTTTGCATTTTTTTTTTTTTTTTTTTTTTTTTTTTTTGATTTGATATTTGTACTAGTATCATATTATGTAGTGATTGTTATTAGGGTATTGCTATTTTGGTATTGGTAATGCAACAAAATGAAAAAGTGTTGATTATCTTTAATACAAAATTTTTAAAAATTACCTATTTAAATGGGAGAAATGCTTTCCACTGTTAGCAGGTCAGCCATTGAGTGTAGGTTCTGCTTAGCGAGGCCTTGATCAACATTCTCCTGGGCTGCTATCAGGACTTGCCACAGGTGACATCCCTTCCATCTAAGGATCAAGTCTGGAATTAAAAGAAAAAATTAGGACATGACAGTCTGTCATAATGCGCATCATCATCAGTACCTCAAAAATTGTAGAAAAGTTAATAAATCCATAGTTTGTTAAATGAATGAGGCAGTTTTCCTTGGTGCAGAAGGCTTATTACATTTCTCTTAAAATAAACATCGTAAAGTACACCCCTCCAATGACCTTAGATGTTGATGTGGTAGAATTTTTTTCAGTATTAAATCAATCAAATGTAACCATATATCATACTTATGAAATTACATGTGAATTTTTTTTAGTCTAAGAAAACAGACCATAGAATTCATACATACCCATTGCCCAGTAACACAGCCTAATCATTTCCTTGGGCTTCTCGTAGCTGCTGATCTCGTTCTTGTATCTGAAATGTTTAAGAGGTTTATTATGACTTTTTTCATCTTTCCTTATATTGTCAAGCATTATCTTCTGAAAATACTAAGAAAAAATGTAATATACATAATTTCCATATACATACAGTTCATTCAGATTCCTTTCAGACCAATTCAGTTCACTTTACAATTAGTTTCAGTTATAAATTTTACATAAATATCACAGAGTACAGTAATAAGGAATAAGAAGAAAGAGGGAGAAAGTGGAAGGGGGAAAGAGAAAGATAACAGGAAGAGTGGCCTAAGAGGGATGAAGAGATCTGAGGTGAGTAAAGAATGATAAAATAAGAAAGCAGGAGAAAGGGAGGGAGGGAGGGAGGGGGAAAAGAGAATAGAATATATGATTTACAGTTTCTTACCACATCTCTGAGGCTTGTTTTCTTCTTTTCATCTTCTTTGGCCTCGTTTTGGTTGCCATGGTTGTTCCGGGCATGGTTATTGTAATTTCCTGGTTTCCCTGGTTACCCTGGTTGTTTCCCTGGTGGGCATTTTGTGGATACCATGCTTGATTCTCCATGTCTGAAGAGGATAAAAACGAATTTAATTAATAATACATCATTCTCATACAAATGTACACATGCACACCCTCACACCCTCACACCTGAAGGCGCCAGCTCCTTCAGGGTGTCCTCAGACCTGGAGGAGCTGTTGTCCGTGGACACCCTGGAGGCTCTGTCCGAGGACACCCTGGAGGAGCTGCTTCTGTCCTCGGACACCCTGGAGGAGCCAGCTTCTCCAGTGTGTCCACAGACAACTGCTCCGTCCTCGGATACCCAAGAGAAGCTGGCTCTGTCCTCGGACAGCGCCAGCTTCTTCAGGGTGTCCTCGAACATAGCCTCCAGGATGTCCATGATGGCAGCTCCTCAAGAGTGTGAGGACACCGTGAAGGAACCAGCTCCTCCAGGGACACACTGGAGGAGCTGGCTCCTTAAGGGTGTCCTCAGACAGAAGCAGCTCTTCCAGGCTGTCCTCGGATGGAGCCTCCAGGGTGTCCACGGATGGCAACTCCTCCAGGGTCTGAAGACACCCTGAAGGAGCTGGCGCCTTTAGAAGAAGAAGCTGTCCTCGGACGGCAGTTCTTCTAGGGCTCTGTCCAAGGACACACTGAAGGAGCTGGCTCCGTCCTAGGATACACTGAAGGAGCTGGCACCATCCATGGACACACTGAAGGAGCTGGCTCCGTCCGAGGACACCCAAGAGAAGCTGACTCTATTCTCGGATGGCGTCAGCTCCTATAGGGTGTCCTCAGATGGAGCCATCTTCCTCCTGCCCTCATCCTTCTACTACCTCCATCTATGCAAACCTTTTGAATACCCTTTTTTGCCCAGCCAAGTGGGATCAATTCTTTGCGATCATTTACGCCTTGGTACAGTTAAATCTGAATCCCGAGTCACTGGAGGAGCTGGCTCCTCCAGGGTGTCCACGGACGGCAGCTCCTCCAGGGTCTGAGGACACCCTGAAGGAGCTCCCCTCAGGGTGGGCATTAATAGGTTTACCAATGAGGTCTGTAAGAGTAGACAGTGCATGAGCATGGGATTGAGATTTAACTGTACCAAGGCGTGAATGATCAGAAAGAAAACTTTGCCTACTTGTTTTTGGAGACATTGTTGGAAGAGAAGGGTATTATGGGGCTGTAGGGGGAATCGCAAAGAATTGATCCCACTTGGCTG